AGAAAATTAAAAAACCCATCCCTTTGGCTTCCCAAAATCCTTCTGTATACTCCAATTGCTCAGAAGCAAGTCCTGATCAACAACAGCCACCCACAGCTTTAATGATGGGGAAATGAATTAAGTACAGATAAATTATGCATTATTTAATGAAGAGTAGCCCTCCAATGGGCTTTTAGTTAATTTCTGTCCCCCCACGCCCAGGAAAGAGTCTTTGGAGTGGTGTCCACTCCCTCCACCTTAGAAAAGAGTGAGAGGAAACTAATAATCAAAGTGCTTCCTCACAGGGAGCAAGACATAACTCTGCGACAACTGCTTGTTTACGAGAAGACTGTAATTAAACCCAGGAAGTGCTGAAAGGTAGTTGGTAATTAAAGGGTGTAGCATCCTGATGTTGAAAAGTTGTAAAGATGGCTAGAAACATTGGGGTGAGTGAGCAGCTGTGTGCGTATCTCCTGAGCAAGGAATCTCCAGGCTGGAGAGAAAGTGGCCGTGTGTGTATGTGGGAGAGAGAGACAGACAGACAGACAGACAGAGAGAGAAGCTTTAGTGAAGAATCTGCAGTTGGGAGAAAAGGTTTAATTCAGTATCGCTACTGCGGGAACCCCGTGGATTTAATTCAGCCACTGACTGGGTTGCATAAATGCAGCTAATTTACCGATTTGTAATTGGGATCAACTTGACTCCTGTGCCAGATCAGAGCATCGTTTTTAAAAGGGTAGGAGGACCGCAGAAGTGACGTGTGCATTAAAACCACAAAAAATAAAAGTACATTCAATCTGAAGCCAAAAAAGCTATAAATAGCGTAAGTCTATTTACATCATGAAATGCCCAGGACATAAAAAAAACACGTTGGCAACAGCAAATCTTTTATTGCCTCTGGAAAACCAACGGACTATTTCTTTCAGAGAAGACAGAAAACCATTTTTAACGGGAAACTGTTTCTGGAAACGGAAGATGGTGAAGTGAGTTGGTAGGCCTGCACAAGAGTCAAACCTGCAGGGCTTAATGCGCCTGGGAGCTCCGGAAACGGAGGGGAGCAGAGAAATAATACACATTGCATTCGCAGGAATGGCATTAATTGTGGGGGGGGGGACCAGGAAGGGCTTGTGAGAGCTTACAGTACAGCCCTCACCCCAGCCTCCTCCACGGTTGACTCTGCTGGCTGGGAATTATGGGGTTGTAACGTCTGCCCATCACCTCTAGGGAAGACAAGGAGGCTTCACAGTGTTGACTTCTCTCTCTCCGCAGACAGAGAGATGGACTCCCCCCGCATCATTGGTGGCTACGTGATGGCCCCCCACTCCTCCAAGTACCTGGTGTCTCTCAAGAGGAAAACGGGCTTCCATTTCTGTGGCGGGGCACTGGTCAGTCGCAGCTGGGTCTTGACCGCTGCCCACTGCAAAACTGGGTGAGGAAGAGGGGTCCTCGCGGGGCTGGGAGGGGCTGCCACGGACCCAGCACCAGCCTTGGAGGGTTTCCGGAGGGGAGTCCCTCCTAGAAAACCAAAGGATCAAACCCTAAGATCCCAAACCCCACTGGTTTAAGACCTGGGGGACGTACCCGAGGCCAAGGCGCATTCTGCTCAGACGGTGAATGAGGTCTGAGCCGCCTCTGAGGACAGCGACAAAGTGGGAATCCATGAGGACGATGAGCCAATAAGGGGGTTGCCAAGTGGAATTTGAGGGGTTTTCCCCTTGGATTTTAGGACGTCGGCCACGCGGTCCATCAGTCTTCACCTGGGAGGAAGGCATTTCAGCCCTGCCTGCTTTGATAAAGGTTCCCCAGGTTGGAATTTGGCCCTTGCATTGAAAACGTCTCCCAGCTTTGAGCTAGATCAGTCTTCCTCAACCTCAGCAGCTTTAAGATGTGTGTACTCCAACTCCCAGAATTCCCCAGCCAGCATGGGAATTGGAGTCCACACATCTTAAAGTTGCTGAGGTTGAGGAAGACTGATCTAGACTAACCGCAGGCTAATTCACAAAGCCATTCACAATAGCCACGTTCACTATTAAATATAAAAAGCACTGGCTTGCACGGTTATGACCCACCGTACCTGTTCCCTTTGCATCAGGTCCCGGCCTCCGCGCCCCATCCGAGCTACTGAACGCCATGCACCGTCACACCCTTTTCTGTCTTTGCAGACTGAACCAAATGCTCGTGGTGGCTGGGGAATATTCGCTTTCCACTTTCGAAGGCACGGAGCAGATCTTCCGGCCTGCCCGCATGGTGGTGCATCCTCACTACAGCGCCCCTTCGAAAAATGCAGACATCATGTTGATTAAGGTGACCCCAATCCCTCGGGGTGGGGGCTCAGCTCTCAGAGGGAGGGGGTGCAGACGCAGAGCTGCCAGCAGTCCTCCAGAATGGGGAGACCCCAACATTTCAGTCGTTGATCCTTTTGGGGGGACACGAGGTGGGCGTGGAGGGTGGAGATTGAGCCCAGCCGGGCAGACCTGGTTCCACCCACTTTCCGACCCCTGTGAGGCCCCCAAAGCTGGCAGGGCCCCAAGGCAAGAGCAGCCGTGTCTCCGCCCAGGGACACAAGCCGGGCCGCTTCCTTGCGCCTCAATGGCCCCCGGGTCTCTCTGTTGTCTCCCCCCCAGCTGAGCCGGCCGGTGGCCTACAGCCCCTTTGTCTCCATCGTGCCGGTCCCGCGGCAAGGAGCCAAGGTTCGGGCCGGCCGCCTCTGCCAGGTCTCCGGCTGGGGCTACACCACGCCCGTCGGGGGCAGGACGTCGGACACCCTGCGCAGCGTCTACCTGCCCCTCGTCTCGACGTGCAAGTGCAACAGCTCCGCTTCGTACGCTGGTTACATCACCAAGAACATGATTTGCGCCGGATTTGGCAGCGGAGGAAAAGACGCCTGCCAGGTGGAAAACGTTCCCGTGCCGGTTTTGGTTCGGGGCCTCCCAAAGTGGTTCTGGGTCGCCCTTTTCGCAGGCTGAACACTTCTGGCAGAGGTTTTGCGGGGGCTGGGGGAGATTTGGGCAAAAAAAAAAAACAGGAAAAAAGATGCCTTGGAAAATCTATGGGTTGCTGCTAAATGTTAGCCATGCAAAATTGGAGTGGGTGGGTTGCCAGGCAGGCCCTAAGATTAAGCGGAACGAACAACTTTCATTGCAGTGAAGAGGGTGCAAGAGCTCTGAAATGAGACACACACACCCCCGCCCCGCCGAGCAAACCTGAAAGTCTTGCTTGATAGGACGGCATAGGAGTTAAACCCTGCAAAGCGAGAGCAAAAGAGCTGGGGATGTTCAGCCTTGAGAAGAGGCCAGAAGGTGAAATAATGCATTTCACCAGCAGAGCGATTCACCCGGGGAACCCATGACCGTTTTAAAGCAGAAGCCGAGGAGAGAGTTATTGGGGACGTTTTCACTCGCCCTCCTGCACCGGCCTCGGGCTCCCCCCAGCTCCAAAATATCCACGAACGGGACTGCCCTGCCCACCCGAGAGAGCCCTCCGTGGCTGCCCTGTGACTTTCCTCTCTCCCCAGGGGGACTCCGGGGGGCCGCTGGTGTGCGACGGACGCGTGTTCGGCATCGTTTCCTGGGGACACAGCTGTGCCAGCCCCGGATATCCCGGCGTCTACACGGCAGTGGCCAACTTCCAGAAATGGATCTACAAGACGATTTTCAAGAAATAACGGGTGCTTTCTTTTGCATGTATGGTGACTAAAGCTGCTTCCCCTAGGGCGGAAGGGTAAACGACCTCGCAGTGAGCTTCGGGTTTATTTTTTCCCATGGGGAAGGCCGAAGAGGCTTTGTTCTCATTCGGTCTTGAGCCCTTTGGGGTTCGGTCCTACAAACCACAAGGGGAAATGGGAGGCCTCGCAGAGGAGCTGGAGCCACCCCGACAGAAACTCCTGCCCTCGGCCAGATGCAGATCGGCCACCCTTTCCGTGTTTTCTTCTGAATAAACCCAGGGAGGATCTTGGCCCCGTCCCGTCCCTCGAGAGCCACGCTGCCAGGGCCTTTTCCCCGCCCCTCTCCCACCCCGCTGCCCATTGCCTAGTTGGCTCTAGAGCGCCACGTCAGTGAACGGACGAATTCCTTTCTGTGCTCCCCAGCTTGGAGCTCTACGTCCGGATTCGGGCACTGCCAAGACTGGCATCGGCTGTAGGCCTCTGCCCCAGACCTTGAAAGAGGGCAGAGCCCCCCACCCACAAAGGCCATCCTGGGTCCCTCCTGATGGGTGTGGAGTGTCAGTAAAAGCAATGAGAACAAAGGAAGCAACTGAAACTGTGGAAACCAGCTCCAGTGGCAGGAAGGGAAAGACGGAAGGGAGGAAAGGAGGAGGCATTTCAAAAAGTGAGGGTGCGCCAGTTCAAGAGAGCCAACCTTTTTCCTAAGTCCAAGGCCTCTTCCAAAGGCAGGCTGGCGCCACAGACGGTGCAGCTGTTTTCCTCTGAAAACCCGCCTGTCCCCCTGACTGCTTCTTGGGCAGCAAAGGGAAGGGCGTCCAACAAACCCAAGTAGAGCATAACGCACGGGGGACCGCCCACCATTCCGAAAAGAAAGCTGGACCACCGAGAACAGGGTAATGAAACTCCTTTGGCTTCATTTTGGGAAGATTAAGCAGGTTGCGCTTCCTAAAGCTCGGCGGGGATTCGGCGGAGCAAAAGCCTTAAAAAGGAGTAATCAAAATGTCGAATCAAAGTCCGCTGAATGGTTGGCCTTGATCCAGCCACTCCTTGGATCGAGAGATGACATTCCAAGCCAGAACCGTCCCTGAACTTCGGGCAAAAACACAACTAAAACATGCCCTAAACGAAGGGTCTTGCACGTAAAAGGAGCCACGAAGTTGGCAAAGGGCCCCTTGCTGTCAGGCTAAGAACGTCAGTGTAGAGGCCTTTTCTGGCTGGGCTATTGGCAACAACCCCAGCTTGGCGACAGCGCCTAGCTGACCTCCAAAAGATATACAGTCCTGGCCTGTACTCGGATGGGAGACCACCAGGAACCGAAGACCAATTTTAAAAACTTGTTACTTAGGCTTCTATGCTCTTCCAGTTGTATGCGTCCGTGAAAAGCTTACACTTCCAGGTACGGTAACAGGGTTACAACAGGAAGCGTAAAACTGAGAAGCGACCCGGAAGGCAGTGAGGACAACCGCCTCCCGTGCGGTTGCAAAGAAAGAATACGGTTGCGTCCATCTAGCCATCAAGAGCCAAGGGAGACTTGAAGGGGTCTTTCCCTCATCTGCAATGACGGTCAACCCTTTGACGGTGCAGACAAACCTAGCTTCCCGTTAAGGAACCTGAATGAGAATGCTACACAATCCAAAAATAACACACATCTGCCCCCCCCCCAAAAAACTTGCTGCGTGGATAAACCCTGATGTGACTGGGCAAGTTTCTCCCAGCTTTTTGGGGGATGGACACATAAAGGTGAAGCCATTGGTCAAGCTGTAAAGAAAATGCTTGCTAGCCTCCCCTCCCCTCATCCTTCCTTCTCCCCTCCCCCCCGCCTCCCAGTTTTTCTTGAGCACTCCACCACTTTTTATTCCGAGTGCAAACAGTGAACCAGAAACGATCCTTTTTTTATAACCCGTTTCTGCAGAGAGATTGATTACGTGAAGCGCGGGGTTTGTGACTGTGAAAGAGCTCAGGGATCTGCGAAGGAAGGAAGGAAGGAAGGAAGGAAGGAAGGAAGGAAGGAAGGAAGGAAGGAAGGAAGGAAGGAAG